GAAATACAATCCCGCCTAATAATTGTTATATAGATTTATATATATATATATATGTTATATATATATATATATATATATATATATATATATATATATATATATATATATATATATATATATATATATAAACGTACCTTTTATTAAGTTGTATAGCTTGGTTTAACTAAAAAGATTCTTTGCCTTTTCCAGCTGCCATATTAGATTTGGCCATGAGTGAATTTGTCATAAAACTAAAAATAATTTATTTTAATAATATTATATCTCATAATTTATGAAATTATAATTAACTACTGTATTTAAAATTTTTTCTTTTTTTTTATAAAATCTAAATGTAATTAAACATTTAGATTTTAATTTAACGATACAGTTAATCTATTAATTAAATCTAATCTATTATTCTTTAGCTTTATTTATCCTATAGCTTTAATCTAAAGTTTAAAGCTATAGGATAACCTATAGCTTTAAACTTGCAAACTGGAAAAAGTGTAAATTGGCATTAGTGCGCCAAACAGGTTAGCAAACATTACGAATAGGCATAAATGCAAAATTTGATTAAGTACAAAACAGTTACAAAAACAGGCAGAAGTGTGAACTGACATAAGTGCGTGTAATAAATTTGCAGTTTGGAATTATGCTAAATTTTGCAAATTTATTTGGCACACTTATGCCAGTTCGCATTTATGTTGTTTGCACTTTTGCGAGTTTTTGCAACTGCTTCACACTTATACCAGTTCCCACTTATGGAAATTCACACTTATGCGAATATTTGTAAATCTATTTAGCCCACTTATGCCAATTTACACATTTGCCAGTTTGCACTTATAGCAGTTTGCAATTATGCCAATGTTTGGAATTCTTTTTGTGCAGTTATGCCCATTTGCACTTATGCTATTTGGCATTGTGTCAGTTGTGCCAGTTATGCCAGTTGGCATTGTGTCAACTGCTTTGCACATGTGCTAGTTTGCGCGTATGAAATTCACGGTTATTCAGTCATCCCATTATGGTAAAACGGCTAACGTAGAGCCATGCATGGGATTTGTATAATGGATTGTACGATGGGGGTAATATCATTATAAAATTAAACAGAGTATTTATAGGAATGCACTTTTAATTTACTAACCTCTTCATCATAGCTATCACAAGTTTTTGACAGTTCTTACCACTAATATTTTGAACTCTTTGTTTCTAATAGAAAGAAGTAATGGAAATCTGACAATTCCTAATTAAGTAGTAAAAATTATATATTGTGAAGAAAATTAAAAAAAAAAGAAAAATCTGTCAAATCAGTATTTAGCAATTTACAACTGCAGAGGTACTACAGAGTTACTAGATGAAACATTGTCAAGTGCTGAGTCAAACTTATCAAATTCTATTATGCTGTTCATTTCAGTTACTACTTCTTCTTCACACTATTTTATATTAAGTTTTTTTTATCCTTGGGTTTTTATCTCATTTAAGAGAAGCAACACACAATATTGAAAGTGTAAACAAATTTACACTTATTAAATTTTGCATAGTCAAAACTAAACTATGTAAATAAATAAATTTAAAATACATAAATTTAACAATTTAACAACTTTACTGGTCTAACCCTAAATCAGAGAAAAACTAATAGACAGTAAAATACCTAATAGTGGCAATGCTATATTATATATATTAGCGTTTTTCTCAGATTTCGGGTTAGACAAGAAAGATTGTTCCATAGATTTATACTTTTTATAATATTGAAATATTGGATTTGATGAAGATTATTTAAAGTTAAAATTGGAACCTCATCATTTTAATGATGTTTTTTAATATTGACAGTCATGTTAGCATTTTACAACAAACATTACATTAATATATTTAACTAAAGACTTACTTGCTTGAGATAATGGAAATCCATAATGTTTATCCTTTTTATTTAAAGATGATGAAGATTGATGTGTCTTAAAATGAATCGTTTGGTCATCTTTGTTTATTATTTTTTGACCTACACAACACAAACATAGAAAATGTTTGAATTTCATCTAACAACTTGTCTTCTTATGTAGCAATTTTACAATTAAAAAATTTATACAAATTACTTTACAGATTATTAACTTTATAAGTAAAATAGGGTATATAGTATGGTATATAATATTATAGGTTTCATACTGCTAAACATTTGGTAATAACACCAGAATATCATTAAAGAATAAAAATTTTAAAATGACAATTTAAAGTAAGTCACTTTCTTTCTTGAAACAAATCATCGTATTTTTCCCTTTCAGCCTTTTTAACTATAGTAATTCCTTTATAAAAACCACTGATATTATTATTTTTAATTTTTAGAGTTAAAGAAGAAAAACTCTGAGAATGTTGTTCCCTTTTATCAAATCCAAATAAATTTTTTGCGTTAAAAGCAGTTGATAATTAAGTAGAATTAAAAACTTAATCTAGTTTTTTTAAGCATTCAAGTTTACTCAACAATTAAGTTATTTAATAGAGTAAAATAATCTAGCTAACCACACCATTAAAACTTTCTTAATCATATCTACTTGATTCAAACAGAAATACAAACACAACCTAGTTTCAACGAAGGCATACAACTTTAAACTAAAAATACTCTAATATATTTTCAAATTTAATTCTACAAGAAAAGAATACAAACACTTGGTTGATTTAAATATATACTAATTTATATAATTTTTATTTAAATAAATTAATTCGCCTAATCGAAGGTCACGCCATTATTTGCGTAAACGGTAATGGGAGGTAAGAGCGAAAAGTTTAAAAGCGAAAGAACGTAAGAGCGAAAAGTTATAAAGCGAAAACCGGGAAATCGAGTATCGCGATAAGTTCAACGGTAAGTACATGATTCCATAGCGTAAAGTTAGGTCCCGTAAAATGTTCCGCAATTGTCCCGCTTCACGTCCAGAACAGAGTTAACATAATTAATTTTTGCATTTATAATTTAATTTATGAAATAATTAATATTCTTTAAATGTGGAGCACGTTTTCACCTGGTTATCGTCGAAGATTAAATTTAAATTGGTAAAAAAAATATTATTACAGATAATAATAATTTAAATTTATTAGAAAAAACAACATTGAGTAGAGGTAATACAAGACATTTTAACTTTTTTAGACAAAATATTTTAAATTTTGAATATAAAAAGCTTAAGTTCATGTTTGTTTTACTACTCGTTTAAAAACATTTCTCAGGAATGACATCCCTGAGAAATTTAAAAATTTTAAAAATATTCCGAATGTTTTTAAGCGAGTAATATAATATAAGCTTTTTATATTCATAATTTAAAATATTTTGTCTAAAAAGGAATTTCCTCTACAAGCACGCTTTAAATGAAGTATCAATTTCCACGTTTGTATGGTTGTTACTGTTTAAATTTTTTTAGTTGTTATTTCTCAAGAAGGAAGTTGGGTTACTGTAGAAACATACGTTGAAGTACTTTTTTTGATACATAGCTACGAAACAGAGGCTGTATCAAAGTTTTCATGCTTTAGTGGCACTATAGCATGATTCATGCTATAGTGTATCAAAGTTTTCATGCCATGAAAACTTTGATACAGCCTCTGTTTCGTAGCTATGTATCAAAAAAAGTACTTCAACGTATGTTTCTACAGTAAGCCAACTTCTTTCCTTTCCTTTAGCAGCACTATTAGTGCTGCTTAACTGGAAATATGGTATGACAATTTTAATTGAGTGTTTTTAAAATGCAATTGCTAAATTTTAATTTTCTTTTATATTTGTATAGTTATTATTTAAAATTTTTGTTGTTGTTGTTATCTTTAAAGATTCTTCTGCAAAACACCACAAAATAAGATGATTCAATATCATTTAATGGTACTCCCTTTATGGTTTTAGGATGTAAAGTGCTTGATTGTATGCACGGGAATGATAGAAAAGCCTCTTCTAAAGAATTTTATAAAATTCATTTATTATTATAATATGTTTTTCTTTATCAATTTGTTTCTAAAATAGCTTCTGTATTTAATGATTATATGTCTAAACCTTTTATTTTTGTTCTTTTATCTAATTTTCTTAATAGGTATCAGAAATTCTTTTTTTTATTCTTTTTAAAATAAACTTTGTTTTAGATTGCTGAGGATACTAAATTTAGAAGAGTGCAATTTTCAAACCGTATTAAAAGATGCTTTGTCAAGAAATAAAGTAGTAAGGGAAAGAGTGTTTCCAGTTTGCTTTCCTTCAAAAAGTTCTCATACTGGTCATTTTACTAGAGATGTAAGATTTCTTTTTTCTTTTTTGTGTAGATAAAGTTAAACAATAGATTTTAAAAGAAAAAAATATTAAAGAGTTATCCAAATTAATTTTCATTTCTTGTTTGCCTGTTTTAAACATCTTAAAGTTAGTTTATTATTTCAAACATGTTATTTAACTTGTTTTGTCATATAACATTTATTAAATTTTAACATTTATATTAATATGTTTCCATTTATTTAAACCAACAACAATAAGGTTGTAGTAAATCTTAATTGCTATTTTATTGCTGTTGTTTAGGAACTTTAGATTTAATATTGTTTAAAATATGTATAAACTTTCTTGTGTTAAGTATATTTAGTATATCATATTTAGTATCTTGATCCAGATTACTTAAGGCCTTAAATTTAAATGCCTGCTCCTACTGATGGTTTTGTTATATACTCGGTATGTTCTTGTACTATTCCTAATATATGTAATATTGTTCATACAAACTTCAATATTTTCACCAGGGGTGGGTTTTGTCACTCACCAAGGAGGTGGCTAAAATGGTTTTTAAAAAAAAAGGTCCGCAACTTTTAAGTGAAAAACACTTAAAAGTGACTTTTCACTTAAAAGTGACGTTTCACTTAAAAGTGACTTTCTTTAACTTTTTGTACTTTAGTGTAATAATCAAGTTCATATATGTATAATTACCTATAATAGTCAATTACCTATAATAGTCAATTCCAATGAGGGGCGGGGGCAACTACCCCCATGCCCACTCTAAAACTGATTTTCACAGTCTGCTGAAGCTATTAAGTGTATCAATGAAGAGAACTGATCTATCAATCATTTTTACTAGCAATCAATAAAATATCTCATTGGAAGTAGGAAGAAGGAAGCTTGTACTATTGTAAAATAAAATGATATCTGTTTCTGTAGCATTATATATATTAAAGCGTACTTTATATTAGATCAAATTGCATGATTTCACATTTATCCTTATTAAAACTGATTAGCCTTTTTTTTTTCCAGTTAAATAAGATGTCAAGATCAAACTGTGTAGAGTGATTTTTTTTTTTTTTTTTTTTTCTAATCGAGTTATTTTTTAAATTTTCAAAATATTTTCAAAAATTTCAAATACTTCTTGGAATATGCATCTTAAATATGGAATTCATATTTTAATAAAGATATAAATTTTATCGAAAGTCCAACAAAAAGCCGCAAAAATTGGCTACAAAAGAAAGGGAGCAAGTTACGAGCAAAGATTAAAAGAAATGGGCTTACAAAATCTATCAAATAGAAGAGAAAACAGCGATCTCATTAAAATGTTTGAACTTATAAACAACCATGATATTATCAATTAGAACTGCGTTCCACAAGTATTGGGTAGGCTTACAGAGGCCACAATCAAAGGTCGAGAAGACATTTTGTTAAAAACTTTTTGTTGAGACCAATTTTTTTACAAACCATATACAGTGGGTTGCCAAATTATTTGGGACACTTCACTTTTTAAGTAATTTTAAAGTTTAAATGATTTTTGCAAGTAAATAATTTTTTTTTAATAAAAAGTTTTGAGTGTATTTTAGTCACTAATATAACTATAGTTGTTTTTAAACTGTGGCAATTTGTGATAACCCGATATGTCAAAAAGTTAGGTTATTAAAAAGTGTGGTTGAAAGTCAAAAATTCAAAATTGATTTCAGTTACTTATTTTTGGAACAATTTTTTGCAAGTTTTTTGAGTTTAAAACTATTGAAACCTAAATATTCGTTAATAGTTCAATTAGTTTAGTTATTAATTTAGTATTTTTGCTACTTATAATGCATAAATCCCTGACATACAACTATTCTTACCTCTCGTTAATTTTTTTAGTCTCCAGACTTAACCCCCAAAAAAAACAGAAAAGTAAAAACCTTACTTCTTCATTCTACACATTCTCAGAGAGAGGTTGCAAGCGTTTCAAAGTCAGTAGTGAGTCGAATTTAAAAAAAAATGGTACAAATGTGACTCTAGAACCAGACCATGTCAACAAAAGTGGCAGTAAAGGATCACTACTCCATGTTATGACCGTAAATTTAAAGACATCTGTCTTGAAAACAGAAAAAAAAGTGTGGCTCAACTAGCTATAATTATAAACAATGAAGGAATTAACGTCTCCAAAAGGACGGTTCAGGGACGGTTGGTTGAAGAGAATTTAGTGTGCTATCGTCCAACCAAAAAAAGAATGTTTAACTGAAGCCATGAAAAAAAAGCGACTGGAATGGGCTAGAAAACACCAGAATATGACTATTGAAGACTGGAGTAGAGTAAATATAATTTATGTTGTAAGAAACCAGAAAATATTAAGGATAAATATTTATTTTTGAAATATCTTTGATATATTTTGCAGGTCAAATATCTTTAAAATGTTTTACAGGTCTGCTTCTTGGGCCAATCAGCATTTCAAATTTTGATGGACAAAAGCTCATTTGTTCGACGATGCCCAGAAAAAAATTTCACTAGGACTGCCTGTTGGAAAAGGTTCAACATCCTGTGAGTGTAGGGGTGTGGTCTGTGATCTCAGCCAAGGGTATGGGCTGCCTTTACATTGTGGAAGGAACCATGAAACAGGATTGGTCCTGCCATATGGTTCCTTCTTACAAGCGATTACTGGAAAACAGGCTCCTGCTCCAGGTCTAAGAATGGTTCCCTGGTAATGAAGAGTATATGTTCATGCATGACTCAGCACCGTCCCATAAAGCTAGAAGTGTTACAGCATTCCTAACTGAAAAAAAAGTGCATGTTTTGCCATGGCCAGGGAATTCACCTGATATTAACCCTATAGAAAATTTATGACAGTTCATAAAACAGAAAATTGCCAAAAAATAGTTATCACTACCAAGCAGCAATTGATAGAAACCCTTATAAGAGAGTGGAATAGCAACCTCAGTCTCCAACACAATGCAGAAGTCTACATAGATAGCATGCCCAGATGCCTGAAAGCTGTTATTGTAGCTAAGGTTTAGCTTTGATGAATTCGTTGATGATTTTTCCAGATTTTTTTTTGTATTACTTTGTTGTGATATCTTTCTACCATTAGCACCTATCTACCTTTTGATATCCATCTATCTTTATTTGGTATGCCAGCTTTTATACAATTCTGGCCTTCTTAAAAGTGTTGATAAAATGCAAAGAAAATTAGAGATTATTGCCTTAAAAGAAATATTTCAAAATAATGTGTGTCCAATAAGATCAAATAAAAAGTTTTTCCTATCAAATAAAATTATTTGTATTCATATGCTTTTGGTGTCTAATTATATAAGTTGTCACCAAAT